CATTGTAGTAACTGGGGAACGGGGAGATCCGCCCTGACTGAGTGAGCCCGGCCTTCTGATGGTTTGACACGCTGGATGTTGGTGGTTCCGGACTGTGTGGTTGCTGCACATCTCCCAGAAGCCAGGGACCTGTTGGGGTGTGAGTTCAATCTGCAGGCCGATGCCCTTTATTTGAGGTTTATCTGAGAACATTTTTATAGCTTCTTAATAATGTGAGTTGAGGGCCGCCTGGGTAGCTTAGTTGGTTAAGCATCCAATTCTTTTTTTTTTTTTTAAATTTTATTTTTTCAGTGTTCCAAGATTCATTGTTTATGCACCACACCCAGTGCTCCATGCAATATGTGCCCTCCTTAATACCCACCACCAGGCTCATCCATTCCCCCAGGCCCCCCTTCCAAAACCCTCACTTTGTTTCTTGGTGTCCACAGTCTCTCATGCTTCATCTCCCCCTCGGATTTCCCCCCCTTCACTTTTCCTTTCCTTCTCCTAATGTCCTCCATGTTATTCCTTATGCTCCACAAGTAAGTGAAACCATATGATAACTGACTCTCTGCTTGACTTATTTCATTCAGCATAATCTCTCTAGTCCCATCCATGTTGATACAAAAGTTGGGTATTCATCCTTTCTGATCGAGGCATAATACTCCATTGTATATATGGACCATATATTCTTTATCCATTCGTCCATTGAAGGGCATCTTGGCTCTTTCCACAGTTTGGCTATTGTGACATTGCTGCTATGAACATTAGGATACATATGGCCCTTCTTTTCACTATATGTGTATCTTTGGGGTAAATACCCAGTAGTGCAATAAGCATCCAGTTCTTGGTTTCGGCTCAGGTCACAATCTCGGGGTCCTGAGATCAAGCCACATGTCATTGGGCTTTACACTCAGCTGGGAGTCTGCTTCTCTCTCTCCCTCCCCCTTTGCACCCCCCTGCCTGCCCATGTTCTCTCTCTCAGATAAATACATAAAATCTTAAAAAAAAAAAAATAATGTGAGTTGGAGCTGTGCAGAAATGATGACAGTCAAGAGTATAAAGGGGTCTTTTCCTCCAGGCTGGGCTAACAAGTGTTCTTTGACCTCGTCAGCTTGAGTAAGCCCCAGGAGAGGGGGTAGGGCCGTCCTTCTTGTGCCCCTGACCCTCCCTGGTTCTGCAGACAAGTTCCTTCACTTCTCTACTCCAATTCCTGGGCTCTAGGAGGGAAAATCACTCTGATGCCTCCCTCATCGGTCAGTGTGCTTAATTGCACATCCCTATCATGTTTATGAAGTCATCTCCCTGCTTAGAGCAAAAACTTCCTGATCGGAATATCCTGGGAGTTCCCCAGCATTTCTTGTGCGCCCGCCTGGGAGGGGCAAACTGCTGGTGGTGGAGGGAGGGACACAGCTTTTGGTCAGACAGCTGGGGCTTCTCAGGCAGGAGCTGCCACTTAGCTGCATGGCCTTGACCAACAAGATATTCCACACCCCCTGTGAATCTCTGCTTCCTCCTCCATTGATCAGGGCAGATATTCTCTGTCCCAGGTTGCTGGCAGGTTCAGAGAGGGCCCTGCACGCAGCTGGCTTGGGGCCTGCAGCACTGCAGGCATTCCTGGAGAATTCCAGAAGGCTCTCCTGCTATGTGTACCCAACCTCAGGCCTTGAGTATGTCTTCTCCGTGGGGCAGATGTGGTGTTCCCCTCTTCACCCTGCCGCCAAGTTTAAGGAATGCTCCCTGGGTCTCTGCAGTCCTTCCCTGTGCTCTGATTCTCTGGACCTTCCAGGCGGCCGAAAACTTGCTATGTTTATATGGCTGGTCATGTTATGGCAAAATCAAATACACAGAATTGTTTGTTTGTTTGTTTTTAAAGATTTTATTTATTTATTTGAGAGAGAGAGAGAGTGAGAGAGAGAGCATGAGAGGGGAGAAGGTCAGAGGGAGAAGGAGACTCCCCACGGAGCTGGGAGCCCTATGCGGGACTCGACCCTGGGACTCCAGGATCATGACCTGAGCCAAAGGCGGCTGCGTAACCAACTGAGCCACCCAGGCACCTGATTTTTTTGTTTTTTTGTTTTTTGTTTTTTTAAAAGAGGCATTTTGGCACAGTCTCACCTTTTGATACTTTATCTTGCCAGTCATCATGTGCTCCAAGGGAAACAACCTCTCCTGGACATCAAGACCCGCACTGTAAATAAGTTGACCTTCAGTCCTGGAAATGTAGAAGGGCAGGTCAAGCCTCAGTCTGAGCAGCTGCCAACATGCTCAGAAGTGACCCGGTATTCTTAGAAGGGACTTCTGCTTTAGATGGTTGCCTTCCCTAGCACCCAAAGCAGTAACACCGAAAACTCTAGGCTGTTGGGAGGGTGAGTCATGCAGGAATGTGTCGGTCCCCTGCCTGGTCTCCTCAGCATAGGCTGGCGCTGGAGCGCATCTGGGTTTAGTTACAAGAGGCCGCCAGTCAGGTGTCAGCCCTCCTTGACCCTGTGTCCCCTCAGCTGCAAGGCCGCCGTTTTTTAACCATGAGCCTCTCCCCAAGATGAGCTTTGTGAGAACTTACTCTTCACTTGATTATGAGGGGAGGAAATACTTGCTTAGTTACGCGCCCCACTTGAGCCTCTTGAGTGGCATTTTGTTGTTGGTGGGAGGTGAGAAGAAGTAGGAGACATCTGTCTTGAGCTTGGGCTGTTGGCACTGGCCTCAGGGAGGAGGCCCCTTCTGTTCGCGGCAGACCTTTGCTAAGTGGCAGAGCAGCTCTAGTCTGGTTTTCAGCTGGCTGAAATGCCAAGAGCACTTGCAGCGACATTTCCCACACGAAGCCAAGAATCTGAGTGTTCAGATGTTGTCCCCCTCCAGTCCCTAAAGCTCCAAGGAAAATTTCAAATGTCTTCACTTTGTACTTAGTTTCTTCTCTTTCCTCAGTGCTTGAAAAACCACACTGACTTCCTGATTTGAAATGTTCTGTAGTAGAGCTTTGCATAGTGAATTGAGTAAGACTGGGTGGGGTGTTGGGGGGGTGGTAGGAGGTGGAGGGAGTCTGACAGGTGCTTTCTGAGGGCTCTTGCCCAGAGGGCGACACTGGGTCACCAAACGCTTCCTTGACCTGTGATTCTGTGTTTTTTTTTTGCCTGCCGTGTGGCCTTAAACAGGAAGGACAGAATGATTTTGGTAAGTCTCTGGAATAGCCGTTGTTGTGGGCACAGGAGGCTCCATATTGTCCTCCAGTGTGAGTGGCCCCGTAGACATGCCCTGCTGCCACCTTTGCTTTGGTTCAGCCCCAAGAGCAGCAAAAGGACTGGTCTTCCCTGCTCTGCTGGCCTTGGTTTCCCGGTGAATCCCGAGGCCCCGCCCTGGGCCCTTCCTGCTCCCTCCGCCTCCCCTTTCCAGCTTGCTTTGCTCCCACTCTTTGTGCCACTCATTTCCTTTGTGTTCAGGCTGGGCCTCTCTCCTTTCCTTTGATGCCACCTTCCATGTCCTAAGAATGACTCGTAAGAGTGATCTCTTGTCAGCATCTCTTCCTTACTTCACCTTGACCTTGTGTGGTTTCAGTATCTCCGGAGGAATTTTTCCTGCCCCTTCCTGCACTTTGGAGAGGGACGGGAGGCGGAGTCCCATGTTCTGCCCTCCACCTTGACCTAGGCTCCTGCCTTTGTTTACTACTTCAAGGCAAGAACTTTGTGCAATAAACTTCTTAAGAATTGCTCTGATTGTAGTTTTTTGTTTTTTTTTTTTTAGATTTTATTTATTTATTTGACAGAGAGATCACAAGTAGGCAGAGAGGCGGGCAGAGAGAGGGCAGCAGGCTCCCCGCTGAGAGCAGGGGAGCCCGATCTAGGAGAAAGACCAAGGTAACTCTCTTGTCCAGCCATGAGCACCATGGGTGTTCCAGTTTCTTTGTGGGTTCACAAGACCACCACTGCTTGCATCTGCCGTTTGCTGTCATGGGTCACGAATATTGTCTGTGACCTGGGCCAGTATGGTCACTGTGTCAGAATTAGTTGAGAGATAATCAAGAGATAATCAAGGCTCACCCATTAGCATTTATTTAATTCATTCTTCCTCTCGGTAGAGAAGTGGAGGAAGACTGGTCTTGTCCTGGGTACGCTGGCTGTGTTGTTGTGTTTACTGTTTAATTACAAGGCCTCTTTAATGGGCTTCGTAGGGATCGATGGACCTTCACAGGCATTGTGGTGCACCCCTTGAGCGCAGTCTGGGCCAGGACCTAGAAGGGGTATAGGTGGTGGATTGAGAAAAACCAGTGGTGGGAATTGGCCATCTCCCAGGGGGACAGGTTGGATACTAAAATACCCAGAAGACAGAACCTAACAGAATATCTAACAAAACACTGTGGGAATATGGAAGGGAGGAGAGAGGTTAATTCTTCTTGAAGTGTTCAAAACACCAACATATCTGGGAAGATCTAGCCTCTGTCTCAAAGGAGGGGCACCTGTTGCCTTAATGGTTGGAAGCCCCACAAGAACACAAGCATTGCGAGAGCAGGACCATGACAGTTGGGTTGACTGGTGCATCTCCTGTGTCTCTCAGACTCAGGATATATTAGGATGGATGAATGGAAAGAAATACAGGTGGATGAACAGTTGAGTGAATTAAACGAAGGCAAAAATCCCAGATGGGGGATGGTTTGAGTGGTAAGAGAAGCAGGCGGCATTTAGACATAATGGTGAAATTGTAGCGGGTTTGGCTTACAGGTAGAGTGTTTGAAAGATAAGGGTCCCAGAAAGGGTCGGGAAGACTGACTGAGCCCAGAAAGCCCAAGAGTTGTGGCTTCACTTTGAAGGAAGTGAGCTGCTAAAAACAGTATAGGAACTGTCTCAGGTCTTGTATGTTTTGAGAGTGGAATTTAAATTGGAAGAGGGCCCCTGAGGTGGCCAAATCTGGCCTCACCCTGCTGTGGGTCAGTAGGTGAAGACACCTGTTGGGACCATAATGTCAGTGGCTAGCAGCCGCGAGGCCAGAGCCAGTTCTGGGCTCTCATTTCCCTGTCTTCTTCTCTGTAGACGTGTGCAACAGCACCGATCTTCCGGAAGTCGAGATCATCAGCCTGCTGGAGGAGCAGCTGCCCCATTATAAGTTAAGAGCCGACACCATCTACGGTTATGACCACGACGACTGGCTCCATACACCCCTCATTTCTCCAGATGCCAACATTGACCTTACAACCGAGCAAATCGAAGAGACGCTGAAGTACTTCCG